TAAATTCTATTATTATCTATTAATAATTGACTTAGATTTTTCGAACAATTCAGTGCTTTATCTAACTTCTCTATTAATAATTTAAATTAAACTATGCTACTAACAGCTATGTTGAAGCCTCGCTGGCTCCAGCGTTATAAATAACAATAGTCCATCGTAAACAACAGTATGGTCCTAAGCAACTTGGAGAAAAATCAAAGCTGATTGCCCGTAGCCAGCTTTCAATTTTTCCTGTAAAAAGACGACAGAAAAGCAATCTCGCCTTCACTGCTTCAACATTGACCACGTCAATCACTGTTTAGGAAAAAAATGTCGGACTCTCAACTAAACTAAACTAAACTACGGGCTTTTCAACCTGTTTTAACGCGATGGCTGTATTACATGAATTTGTAATGCAAATAGTGTGAATCACGCAAAGAATGCTATTATACAATTTGTATTCAAGAGCGCTGCAATTCGACTCCGACTCGTTCGATAACTCGCACAGGATCGAACTGACTTTATTTCTTCTAGGGTTTTCGTAGAAAGAGAGCACCCTCTGTTTTATGTGTTTCCTTCAGTGTGAATTTTCTTCACAATCACTAAAATGAGTCGTGATTACCTATATCTCGCGTGCAACACGACTATGCAAGTTGATACAAATCTTTCGAACAATTACAAATAGTAATTTACGCAGAGATAAATCATCCGTCTGGCCCATAACGCGCCGATTCTACTGCCACTGTAGTCCATAGGCCGTGCGGAGCCTCGCGCAGTGGAATCAGTCGGTATCTGATCAGCCAGCCTATTGAAATCAACACCTAATCTGTCAGTGGTTGAATCAACTCCAAACAGACTGCAATTTATTTCACGCGAAAATACGTGGAAAATGCAGTTCTCTAACAATGCTCACGGTGAATGAGTCATGTAACAAGCGTGAAAAGAAAAATTACAGATGATTATGAGGAAGAGTCGAAAGAAGTGTCTGCCTCTGACGAGCCAAAGATACAGAACGCGGGAAATTTGTTCAACGTGTCGCAAGCTACGTACGATTCTCCAAGTTGATAATTGTCAATCGTACGGGAGGACTGATTGCGTAACAATTGTTGCGTAACTCGTTTCATCTGATTGGGACAAACGTACGCGCAGGGCATCTTGCGCCGCGGCGTCGAAATTTGCATTTAAACGTCGTGTTTCAAAGCGCCGTTAACTGCCTTGAAACCGAAACGCAATCGTTTCGGAATGTTTGCACGAGCCGGAGCAATTGGTTCGAAAATGACAGACCAGAACGAATGGCGCGGCCCTTGTATTTTAATGGCTTCCATTTCGCGCTCGATTTCCGTTTGATTTATCGCAACGCGTTTGAGGCCGCGTCAATGTGTGTATGTGTGTGTGTGTGTGTATAACTTTTTGTTCAATTATTGAGTTTTCTCCAAGTGTCACGCTGACAAACTTGAAAGTATCGCCGGGATGAACGAACTCGGTTGTCACTTAGACCTCGGAAAATCTTCACTCACTTAAAACCAGAGAAAATCCAGCTTCTCCCAAGAATTACATCTTCCCGTCATTACCGCTGTTTGACGTCTTCGAGGGCCGTCTTCAGCGTACCTTTCAACGTTGCCGAAGCTGCGAGTTCTCACCTAAAGTAGACTTCGTTTCCTGGTAAACCGCCTCTCCCAGGTCCTTTCAAGGATCGTAATTTCATAGAGAAGAGGAGAGAAAGAGAGAGAGAGAGAGAGACTTGTTCATCCGGCTATAGTGCCGACCGGCGGATTCATTATTTAATCGCGACTTCTGACTGCGCGTTCGCTCGCAGTCGTATATACGGAACATCATTACGTTTAATGCATTTCGTCTTTATCTCCCCTTAATTTCCCCGAGAGCGTACCGTTGAACCGAGACGGGGTTTCGCGACTCTCGTCTACAACGCTCCTCCTTGCAAACGTTTAACGCGCCAGCGCCGGTGAAAAAAGGGCAAACAGAAAATTTAATTACTTCGTTGCCCCGTTCGGGACGAAAGGTCGCGGCTGAATCACTCGCCCGTGTACGTACAACGCCCGCATACTCGGGAAATCGACTGTATAAGGAGCTTCGTCATTAACCTCGTGTTGCAGTTGAATTACTTTCGAGGAACCGAGTGCGGTACGAACGGCGTGGATGAATGTTGGTTCGTGTAGACACGGGGTTGTTCCACGCGCGAATATTCGTGGCGCGAGTGACGATCATGGAAAGTGAACGATTGGGAATATGTATGTGGGTGGATTTGGATAGAAGGTTTCATTATAAAATCAATAATGAAAAATAATATTAACGAAATAATTGTAATAATAAACATTATTACAAAGTTGTGAAATGAAATTAAATTATCTGAATAAAAAGAGTTAGAATCCTGAAATATATATAAAAATTTCAATTTTATACTTGAATCTTAAATTCAAAGCACTATCCTGCCATATTAAATTATTTGTTGAAAATGTTTTTGATTTTGTTCAAAAATAACAGTGGAATTTCATTGAATATACGATCGAATGGTGGGTAATTGTTTAATCATTCCAATGAAGATTGATTGAACTTAAATAGAATTAATTCGACTTAGGTTCGTCACTATATTACGCGAGATCGTTGAGGAATTATGTTTTTTTTTTTTATATATATACAATTTTTCCGACATTCGAAAAATTCTCGATATTTGAACTGCTTATAATTTCATCTGAAAGGAATCATACAACTTCAGCTCATTTTCAAACGTAAGGTCTCTCTACTTTCACAATCTTGGTGATTTTACATATCATCATTAGTCATAGTCGTCATTAATCATCATAGAATGGAAAAATATACCTTTTTCTCGAAAGTTGTAACAATTCAAATATGTCTGCAAAAAACAATATAAAATTCTTTTTCTGTTATCTAGACCCACTATAATCTTCAAAACCAAAATCGTCTCTTTGCAATCGATCTCCCAAAACCTTTAATAAATATGCTAAAAAAGTATCGTACGTCAAGTTCTAAGGGCTCGTTGTAAAGAAGAGACTCTATTCATAATGGATCTAATCATACAAAATTTCTTTCAATATTTATAAAGATGTTCGAATTTTCCAAAGAAAAGTGTGCTCATTTTCTCATTAATTACATGAAACGAAATCATGTTTGAAAAAAAATTAATTCAGTACTGTCGAAGTATGATTTTCTTATATAATATATGATTTTACGATATTAAAGCTACTAATAGTTCAAATTTCCGATAGTTTTCTTTATTCAATCAGTTATGCTGTTCACTGTAAATGTGGATATTGATGATCACACTGGATCAGACTGCAGTTTCACATTCGTTTATTACACGTGAGATAAAAACCTTTGGTAAATATTAACGAGAAAGAGCGTATTTGTAGCTGAACGTTTCAACGAAATGCAGAGGAGAACTGTAATAAAACGAATCGCGAACACGATGCGACAGCGGGACAGATTCGTTGGAAAGTAAAGTGCTGACAATTAATTAATCGTCCCCGCGGAACGAGTTTGTCATGCCCGTTGGGATATCAGAAATTTTTAATCCGTCGACCCCCAAGTCGCTATTAATGTCACGCTCCTCGAGATTAATTGCACTTATCAAGCTGTTCCAGTTTCTGAAAGAAAGCTTCTCCTCCTCCTTGAAGCTTCCTTCGGCTCGTAGTTCGTCACGATCACGAGGCGAATGAAAGACGACCGGTCGCGCGCGATTGAAAACGATCGCACCAGAGAGGAGTCGACGAAATCGACGGTGGGAAACGAAGATCCGCTTCGAGTTCACACCTTGGAGATCATTGAATCTCGTTTCGTCAAAGGGTACGAAGGACGTGAAGAGTTCTCGATTGGCAAACGTCCGGTGAGGAGGGAAACAGTTTATTCGGAGTCGATTTCGTTCGGTCAGTCGTCGATGGGAAATAGCAGAGGATACGTGGAGAGATGATGCGTGAAAAGAAGCGAGAAATTTTCATTTCTAACGTCTCCGGAATGATTCCTCGTAAATTTCGTCCATAGCTGATTCGAGGGAATTTCGAGAGCAAACCGACCCAGCTGAGTCCGGGATGCCGGGCGAATCGAATTTTTCTCCTTTCCACACACCGACTCCATCGAGCGTGATCTTCGTCTCTCGAACGTCTCTGTCTTTCTGTCTCTCTGCTCCGCGGAGAAACTCCATTATCGTTTCTATCCGATTGCTCGCTCTCTGCGAGCGCCGGCAAGTCATAAATTCCAGGGCGTCAGTTCAACCATCGCTCTCCCATGTGATCCTTGACGCATTGCTTCGCCGGTCTGACTCGTCGTCGGCGATAATTCCTTCTTATTTCTTCGTTGCTCTTCCGTTTATCTCCCACCGTAGCTCGACGTATTTTTAAACAAATTTCATCTACCTTCTCTGCCCTCGACTCTGTCGGTAAAGCGGAATACAGGCTGCGAGTTAAACTCGCTTCAACTAATTGAAGAAGATTCCTCTCCAGATGAAGTTAAGTAAATTGTGAAACTTTAAACAGACGAATCCACTTTGATAAGTGGTAAAACATTGAAGCAGTTCTTTAAAACTTGTTAATCTGATTTGGGCTGTGCCGAGCTTGGTTTCTATTCTACCGTGTACAGACTGTTTCTACTGTCAAGAGGTTGAACGAAGTTTCCGAAAATGTGAGGCTGTCCTTTTAGTTTAGTTTGCGTGTTCAATTCTTCACTGAACATATTCGTATTCCATCCTTTCAAGGCCAAGATCTTAGATGAAACGATCTCTAATCGATCCTGTCATATCTATCTATCTATCTATATATATATATATATCGGGTGAGTCATCTGAGGTTAGAAGTTGAAATATTTTCGATACGATTAATTGTATGAAAAATTGTTTTAGATAAATGTTAAATGGCTTCGAGAGAGACATTAATTCGTGTAATAGATATTTTTTATAATGTTGATGCATAGAAAGCGTTTGAAGATCAAGATTATTTTTTCGAGTGAAATCGTATATCTTTCGATACATTTTTCAACTCAGCTTGTCATTCTCTACAAGAAAGTATTCAATGACTTTCAATATCATGACAACAATAAATGGCATTCAATCACCATTTCTCACTTCCAAGATCTATATATATTCTATTTATATTTACAACGTTTTAAAAAATATGTATATATTAAGATTCATGTACGCCGTCGTCAAAAGCATACGTACTCGGAGAATATTCAAAGCCGATTTACTCGAAAACATAGCCTAAAACAAAAAATTTTTATTCTTTCTTATTTTTTCATGTAGACTTCGCTACATGTACTATCGACGCAGAACAATTTTATCGATTATCTTTTCTCGCTCAGACAAATTCACAAATTTCACAAACTTTACAAATTTTCAGGTCGATTCTCCAAAAAAAAAAAAAAAAAAAAAAA